CCCCACCTCCCTTATTTGCAAATATCTCGACTTGTATTCAAGATAAATGGATATTTTTTTCACACACAGAAAGACAATTGAACAAGCTGTAGGATGATACCAATAACTCTACATGCCTCAAAATTGACGAGAGCCTGATTCCATCACGCTGCCTCACTTATATATTTTTAAAGATTTTTTTTCTTTTTAAAATGAGTCCTTTACTTCCCCAACTCGAAGTCAGGTACCCATTACAGGTGGGTGGGCAGGAGGGGGCGAAAAAAATCCCTGGCCGAACCGAGGCTCGAACCTGGACTTTCTGCTTTTATAACAAGCGCACTAACTACTCCGCCTCCACGCCGCTGTAAGCTACAGGCTTTAAAAATACTGTAATAGTGCTTTGCGGTCGTGTTGCCACCGTGAACGACAACAAAGTGGGAATCCCTCGAAGACGTCAAACAAGATGGCTTTTACTATGAATATCGGCAAATGGCGTACAACTGTCGTTCGCAAGTTATCCGCATGTATCTTTTACCCCTCAGTGAAGGAAAATCTTTTACCCTTCAGTGAAGGAAAATCTTTTTCACGTGCTTCCCATTACTCGTTCTCAAACAGCGGCGTCTTTGGTAAGGCGGTCAAGCGCTTCGCCTTCGTGCGCCGGCGACCCGAGTTCGATTCCCGAATGGGAAGAACTTGTGTTGAGCATCTCGGTCTTTCTGCTAGAGTGACTCCTATATGATCTAAATTGTGTGGATGTGGGCGCACAAACACCTATATAACTTTTTCCACCCTCAAACTCAAGTAAACTAGATTGTATCTTCTTTTTGTGCTTTTACCTTCACCATTACACGAGGTCTGAGATTTTAATATACAACCGGCTAACCTGGCGTCTAGGGGTTGCTGCGATCTTGCAGATTGGAGTGGGAGAAGAAATGATCGAGACTGTGGGGGGAGAAATAAACACCAATTTCCTCCACGGGTGGGTCGATAGATTTGATCCCGTCTCATCGGAATATAAAGTTACTCCAATGTATAGGTCCCCGTTTTCTGGTGATTCATTCATAACTTCTCACTGATGAAAGTGGAGAAGGCGGACTGAAAGGGGGGATCGGGGAGGTGGGCAGAATAGGTTTAGAGATGGTGGAAAAGGGGGAAGGGCGTTCAGTGCTTGTTTTGGACTGTATTTTTGTCTATTTGATTATTTTTTGTTTATTTTGGCTTTATT